GAAAAAGGAAAGAAAAGTATATATAAATGTATTTACTACTTATATAGGAATATCTATATAGGATTCATATAACTATTTTATATTGGATCAAGGTTTGCTTTTCAGTGTGGGCAGATCTGACTGGGATAAAGGCCAATTGTCATGTCTTTGGCCAAGAAATTTCCATCAATTCTGTGAACTTTGCCCAGTTCAGTTAAAAAATACCATTTTGTCTTTCAACCCTCTCAGAAGATTAAAATGATAAAAACAATGTTATTGCCACTATTTGAATAACACTTTATTTAACTGTTTTATAACTTCTCCAGACAAATGAGTGCCTCTATAATTGGAGATTACTCCAAGAATATCTTACACAGAAAATATTTTTCTAATAATGTTTAGCTTCTGTTATAGCAGTAGCCTTCCTTCAAGGGAAAACTTTTGTCTAAGAAGAAAGAGTATCATAAGAACATTTTGATATGTCACTGAGGGAGGCAATTTAATAAAATTTAGTTGTAGGTGTTCAAATGATCTAAAGTACCTCCTGCAGTCTCTATTATCATGTCAGGATTATGGGTTTGACAAATGGTTGTAGACTATTTAGCAATTTTTAGAACATCACCCTACCATTTTAAAAGTATTTTTTACTATTCTATCTACACAAAGATGAGTCATGGAGTACAGAGCTTTTTTTAAAAAAATAATTGAACCTCTAAGAACATGGAAAAGGCAAGACCATTTTCTGGGCCCTTCATGAGTCCATAATTAACATTAAATTTATGTCCACTTAAATACCAGTTTTGTTTTTCAAATTAAGTATATAGCACTGTTTATTAAATAGGTCATCATCAGTGATTTGACTGATGGTCAACAAACTTGAAGGAGTTTGTTTCAGCTGCATATCTTTCACATTTCAGTAGTAGCCAACTTAGCAGGTAAATGTGTCATGAAATTTCTTTGAAATTAATTTTTGTTCCGATTGATGTTTGGTTAGCAGTTCTTTGACTCAATCAGTTTCTTCATATGAGTTCTGGGAATTTTTACCCAATTCAATGGTATTATCTTAAAGTTATCAGCAACTTCTATTTGTTAGAGTCCTTTCCAGGGGTCTCCTTTCATATGAAACACTTAAGTTTTATAGTTGTTTGCTATAGCGTTCAGGAAAGTACCAGAGTAAAACAATTAGTTAATTATCTGTAGAAGAAAAAACTTAAAATGACTATGGTAAAAGATCAAATGTGGGTTCATTATAATGCAATGAAGAAGAAAATTTTGTTTCTAAATCTTTCATCATTATTTAGAGGCATATTTATTTCTATTAATACACAAAGGCCTTAGAGGTCATATAACTATTACATCTTTTTCAACTAATATACAAACACAATTTTTATCATTAGATTAATTCATCTTTTACTACTCTTCTCTATTACATTTCTATGTAGATATTTTCACAATACATATGTTTTAAAAAGCTTGATATATATCTACAGTAAACATATTGTTAATTAATCTCTGTTTTTTGTCACAATTATATAATAATTATGGAATAAAATATTTCTACCACTAAGATTTCAGTGCTTTCTTTTGCAAGACTTACAATCAGATGATTGGAAAATTTGTATCTTCTCCAAAGAGGCTATGACTTTATTTTAACTGAGGCTCGTTTTTTATGATAACATGAATACCTCTTATCATGGCAACAGAATGTGTGTCCCTTCCCATGAAGAATCTTTCAAGACGTTCTTAGATCCTCAGTTTCAGCTGAAGATGAATCACAAATATCTTTGGCATAACTCAAATCACCTGGCAAACCTTTTAAACTTCCACACACCTTCATAAATGCAAATAATTTTGATGAGTGGGTGAGAGGCTCCCCATAAAACCTAGACTCATTTATAACCACTGTCTTAAATCATCAACGAAATTAGATACAAAAATCATAGCTACTACCTCTAAAATATACTTTTTCTTAAGTAAATATTAGCCTAGATTAATGTTAAATTGCTTTTATCTTAAATACTATATAGGCATGGCTTTGGTTTCATAGTTTTCCTAATCCCTCTTTCAGAACTGCTCTGGATACTACTAAATTGCAGCCACTAGCATGGCACTATGTCACAGTATATAAGCAAGGCCTATTGGCCATTGATTCATTACTCTTCTACTTCATAAAGTGCCCTGTGAGTAAAGAAGATACATATCTTCAATAAACCCAGTGGAGGAAATGAAATGTTTCTCTTTTATCTTTGCATGTTATGAAACATCTAATAGGAGTTCACATGTGGTGAAAAGCAGGAAGGATGATGGAATATTTGACTCTTTTGGTCAGGTTTTTCCTGCATTGCAGTTACACACATTTAAAGAGAGACCACAGATCTCCCTGCATATGCAGATTTGGATAACAGCTCACTGTACTTCAGTATGATGCACAAACTTACTGAACATGTTTTGTTTCTGAATTACCAAAGAAAAAAGTACCTAAAATAAATCAACTTCACTTGCCATGCTCTCCTAAAACACAGTTCTCAGGGATAGTATTTAATTATCCAGCCTTATTGATGTCAAAAATTCTATCCAAGAAAGAACAGGTACAGTTTTAGAATCTTATAATATGCCTGAAGATTTTTGGAAGTCTATAATGATTATATATCATCATAAAAATCTATTAAAATCAAATATTAAAATATAGATTTTAATCTACATTTATACAATATAAATGTGTATATCATAGTTATGTGATCATAGGCAAATCATTTTCTAGGATACATGGGAGATATATGCATTAATAAAGAATACCTGCTTATCTATTAGTTTTGTGTATATTCATATTAAAACATTAGTTATAGAACTAATAACCCAATTGGAAATTTAGACAATGATGAACTGTATGGCCATTAAAAATAAAGAACCTCTCAAAAATATTAAGTGAAAAAATCATGTCTTTGTGCCATAAAAGCTGAAGAACTTTACATATTTTACATAAAGATAATTTTTCACAACTCTAATTTGTACAATTTTTATGCAAACCTTTTTATGGCAGATAGATTTTCTTGATTCTATTTCTTTCAGTTAGAATTTTACCTTAAGATCATTCTTTGGTTGCAAAGTTTTCTTTTAGACTAGTCTAAGAAAACAAAATGGACAATTAAATTTATATATTTCATATTTATTTTAAAATACCATAATGCAAAAATATTATTGCTTGTTTGCATTATATTGTCCCAGATTTCTGAAATATTATTCCTGTTGATCTATGCCAGTCCATATTCTTATGGCAAGCCTCCCAATGTAGCCTTCCTCTGTTTGTTTTTATCATACTTCTCTGAGATCTCTGTTTTATTATTTATTATTATTTAAGTTCTGGGATACATGTGCAGAACGTGCAGGTTTGTTACATAGGTATACTTATACACATGCCATGGTGGTTTGCTGCACCTGTCAACCCGTCATCCACATTAGGTATTTCTCCCAATGCTATCCTTCCCATAGCCCCCCACTCTCAGACAGGCCTTGATATGTGTTGTTCCCCTCCCTGTGTCCATGTGTTCTCATTATTCACCTCCCATTTATGAGTGAGAACATTCAGTGTTTGGTTTTATGTTCTTTTGTTTGCTGAGAATGATAGTTTCCAGCTTCATCCATGTCCCTACAAAGGACATGAACTCATCCTTTTATATATCTGGATAGTATTCCATGATCTCTGGTTTTATGTCTTTTATTTATCTTTTTTCTCTTTAATTTTTTTTTCGTTTTACTTACTCAAAATTAGTTAGTTTAATAAGCATAAAACTAGAATGTAGTTTTGTTTCATCATGTTAGGAACTAATAATGTAGAGTATTTTAATTGTATATATTTTTAAGTCTATTTAGTGACATTCATGTTGTCTGTGCCTGTTCATCCCATTTTCCTATTTTCTAAAGGGTATTTATTTTTATTATATGGATTATTTATTCCTTCTGGATCTTATTTTCAAATTTATTTTTCAACTTATTTTGTGAGCGAGCTGTAAATGATATTCATGGAATCATATTACATCTTAGTTTACATTTTGGTATAGTTAAGTTTAAAAGCATTTTTCTTCATTTAGTGTGTCTTCACATATTTTATATGGATTTCCGTCTATAACATATCAAAGAGGTAATGAAAAGAGTAGGTGGCTGCACATCACCATGTAAAACTTAATAGCATTCCCTTGACCCAAGCAGTAACAACATTAAAGATATAGTATAAAATGTCTCATTTATGATTATTGTAAGAGATCTGTAATATGCCTGATGACAATTATTTGAAAGCTTTCATATGCCATTACAAATTAACTGAGATAGACCAGTAAAACAATTGACTGGTTGTTGTTTATTTTTATTATAAATTTATTTTACTTTATAAATGTATTTTACTTTTATAATATGTAAAAAGTGATAATTTTATTTTACTTTTGTATATGCAAAAAGGACATTAAGAAGAGTCCATTGTTTTTCTATTCAAATTTAAGGCAACAGTTTATGTTTGGGTCTATTTCTAAGTTTTCACTGCAGGTCAATTGTTTTACTGGTTTATCTCAGTTAATTTGTAATAGCATACAAAAGCTTTCAGATAATTGTCATCAGGCATATTACAGATCTCTTACAATAATCATAAATGAGATATCTTACAATAATCATAAATGAGACATATCATACAATAATCATAAATGAGACTATATCATGAATACTGTTATTGCTTGGGTCAAGGGAATGCTATTAAGTTTTACATGGTGATGTGAAGCCACCTACTCTTTTTAGTTTTAGTAATTTGTCCAAGATGCTTATGTGGTCAATGAATACAATTGTGTTTCTTGATTTTTAACCATCCTGATCCTTATTTATTTCATGTATTGACTTTTAGTAATATGTTGATAAATAGTAGGAATATGAGGCCATATTTCTTTATAATTCAATAAAAATATTTCTACATTTTGAAAAATGATATTTGCTGCTAGGCTGTTAGATTATCAAATTTAAAGAGTCTAGTCTCGGCAGACCGCGCTGGGTTGCCGCCGCTGCTGCCGCCATCGTGCCAGCCCCTTGGGTCTCTGTGAGGCCGGGTGACGCTCCAGAATGGGAGACAAGCCAATTTGGGAGCAGATTGGATCCAGCTTCATTCAACATTATTACCAGTTATTTGATAATGATAGAATCCAACTAGGCGCAATTTACATTGACGCGTCATGCCTTACGTGGGAAGGACAACAGTTCCAGGGGAATGCTGCCATTGTGGAGAAGTTGTCTAGCCTTCCATTCCAGAAAATCCAGCACAGCATCACGGCGCAGGACCATCAGCCCACGCCAGATAGCTGCATCATCAGCATGGTTGTGGGCCAGCTTAAGGCGGATGAAGACCCCATCATGGGGTTCCACCAGATGTTCCTATTAAAGAACATCAACGATGCTTGGGTTTGCACCAATGACATGTTCAGGCTTGCCCTGCACAACTTCGGCTGACCTTCTCTCAGCCAGGCACTCACGCTGTTTCCTCCTCCCTCCTCTTCCCAGTACTATTACCACTCCTCCAGATGCTCCAAATATCATGCACAAATGAGCAGGGCTGCAGCGGGAGTGGGCGCAGTGCGCTGCTGCCACCAAGGTGTTGTGCATGATGTTTGGACGCTAGACTAGTTGCATCTGACGGGAGAAGAGTTGAGGCAGCAATTAAGAGCCTACCACACAAAAAAAGCCCAGGTCCAGACGGGTTCACAGCCGAATTCTACCAGACACTCAAGGAAGAGCTGGCACCATTTCTTCTAAAACTATTTCAAACAATCCAAAAAGAGGGACTCCTTCCCAAATCATTTTATGAGACCAACATCATCCTGATACCAAAACCCGGCAGAGACCCAACGAGAAAAGAAAACTTCAGGCCAATATCCATGATGAACATAGATGCAAAAATCTTCAATAAAATATTAGCAAGCCAATTGCAACAGCAAATCAAAAAACTTATTCATCATGATCAAGTAGGATTCATCCCAGGGATGCAAGGCTGGTTCAACATACGCAAGTCTATCAATGTAATTCACCACATAAACAGAACCAAAAACAAAAACCACATGATTATCTCAATTGATGCAGAGAAGGCATTTGACAAAATTCAACAGCCCTTTATGCTAAAAACCCTCAATAAACTCGGTATCGATGGAACGTATCTCAAAGTAATAAAAGCTATTTATGACAAACCAACAGGCAATATCATACTGAATGGGCAAAAACTGGAAGCATTCCCTTTGAAATCTGGCACTAGACAAGGATGCCCTCTTTCACCACTCCTATTCAATATAGTACTGGAAGTTCTAGCCAGAGCAATCAGGCAAGAAAAAGAAATAAAGGATATTCAAATAGGAAAGGTGGAAGCCAAATTGTCTCTATTTGCAGACGACATGATAGTATACCTAGAAGACCCCATTGCCTCAGCCAAAAAACTCCTGAAACTGATAAGCAATTTCAGCAAAGTCTCAGGATATAAAATCAATGTGCAAAAATCACAAGCATTCGTCTACACCAATAACAGACTTAAAGAAAGCCAAATCAAGAGCGAACTACCATTTGCAATTGCTACAAAAAGAATAAAATACCTTGGAATACAACTCACAAGGAACGTAAGAGACCTCTTCAAGGAGAACTACAAACCACTGCTCAACGAAATCAGAGAGGACACAAACAGATGGAGAAACATTCCATGTTCATGGTTAGGAAGAATTAATATCGTGAAAATGGCTATACTGCCCAAAGTAATTTACAGAATCAATGCTATCCCCATCAAGCTACCATCGACTTTCTTCACAGAACTGGAAAAAACCACCATGAACTTCATATGGAACCAAAACAGAGCCCGCATAGCCAAGTCAATTCTAAGCAAAAAGAACACAGCGGGGGGCATCACACTACCGGATTTCAAACTATACTACAAGGCTACAGTAATCAAAACAGCATGGTACTGGTACCAAAACAGAGATATAGACGAATGGAACAAAACAGAGGCACCGGAGGCAACACAACATACATACAACTATACAATCTTTGATAAACCTGACAAAAACAAGCAATGAAGAAAGGATTCCATGTTTAACAAATGGTGTTGGGAAAACTGGCTAGCCATGTGCAGAAAGCAGAAACTGGACCCCTTCCTGACACCTTACACTAAAATTAACTCCAGATGGATTAAAGACTTAAACATAAGACCTGGCACCATAAAAACCCTAGAAGAAAATCTAGGCAAAACTATCCAGGACATAGGAGTAGGCAAGGACTTCATGAACAAAACACCAAAAGCATTGGCAACAAAAGCCAAAATAGACAAATGGGACCTAATGAAACTCCACAGCTTCTGCACGGCAAAAGAAACAGTCACTAGAGTGGATTGGCAACCAACAGAATGGGAAAAAATTTTTGCAGTTTACCCATCTGACAAAGGGCTGATATCCAGAATTTACAAAGAACTCAAACAGATTTACAGGAAAAAAACAAGCCCATTCAAAAGTGGGCAAAGGATATGAAGAGATACTTTACGAAAGAAGACATATATGAGGCCAACAATCATATGAAAAAATGCTCATCGTCACTGATCATCAGAGAGATGCAAATCAAAACCACATTGAGATACCATCTCACGCCAGTTAGAATGGCGATCATTAAAAAATCTGGAGACAACAGATGCTGGAGAGGATGTGGAGAAAAAGGAACACTTTTACACTGTTAGTGGGAGTGTAAATTAGTTCAACCATTGTGGAAGACGGTGTGGCGATTCCTCAAGGCATTAGAAATAGAAATTCCATTTGACCCAGCAATCCCATTACTGGGTATATATCCAAAAGACTATAAATCGTTCTACTATAAGGACACATGTACACGAATGTTCATTGCAGCACTGTTTACAATAGCAAAGACCTGGAATCAACCCAAATGCCCATTGATAATAGACTGGATTGGAAAAATGTGGCACATATACACCATGGAATATTATGCAGCAATCAGAAATGATGAGTTTGTGTCGTTTGTAGGGACATGGATGAATCTGGAGAACATCATCCTCAGCAAACTGACACAAGAACAGAAAATGAAACACCGCATATTCTCACTCATAGGTGGGTGATGAAAAATGAGAACACATGGACACAGAAAGGGGAGTACTAAACACTGGGGTCTATTGGGGGGAAAAGGGGAGGGCCAGTGGGAGGGGGAGGTGGGGAGGGATAGCCTGGGGAGAAATGCCAAATGTGGGTGAAGGGGAGAAGAAAAGAAAGCACACTGCCATGTGTGTACCTACGCAACTGTCTTGCATGCTCTGCTCATGTACCCCAAAACCTATAATCCAATAAAAAATTAAAAATAAATAAATAAAAAAATAAAATAATAAAGAGTCTAGTCTCTTGTTACTTTGGCAAATAACATTTTTTTTTTTTTTTTTTGAGACGGAGTTTCGCTCTTGTCACCCAGGCTGGTGTGCAATGGCGCAAACTTGGCTCACCGCAACCTCCGCCTCCTGGGTTCAAGCAATTCTCCTGCCTCAGCCTCCCTAGTAGCTGGGATTACAGGCACGCCCCACCATGCCCAGCTAATTTTTTGTATATCCTCAATGGCCTCTTGTTAGTTTTCTTTTTTTGATCTCGTGATCCACCTCCCTCGGCCGTGGTGGCAAATAACATTTTAAAAAATAAAATGAATTTGGGGGAGGGCTTTCTTTAAATATTGATTTATCATAATTTAATTTTATCTACCTTCTTGGTTGCTATGGTTGAATGTGTCCCAAAAGTTTGTGTGGTAAAATCTTAATATCTAATGCAGTAACATTCAGAGGTGGAATCTTACTAAAGGTCGTGAGAGCTGTGCCCTCAGGAATGGACTAATATCATTATGGAGGAAGGGCATCCATTATCAAGAGAAAGCTTGTTAAGTAAAAGCAAGTTCAGCCCTCTCTTAATGTCACTCTCACCCTTTCTTGCTCTTTCAATTTCCAGAAACGGGTAACGCTGTATTAAAGTCCTTGTCACATGTCAGCACCATGTTTTGTATTCCCCAGCTTCCAGAACAATGAGCCCAATAAGTTTGTTTTTCTTATAGAATACCGAGTATCCAGGAATTCTGTTATAGCAACACAAACCAAACTAAGACATTGATTTATATGATGCAATCCTTTGTTGAGTTATTTTAGTAGTTGCTTTATGGTTTATACAATGTAAATTAAAAATTTCTCTGCCTACTGTCATGTGAAATTGTAGTAATTCACATGTAGTATAAAATATTTACACAGTACATTTTCATTTATTTTCTTCTAGTCCTAGTACTATCACCTTGTTGCAGTCTTTTTTATACAACTGTTATTTTATTAGTTTTATAGAGTTGTAAAATATACTAGAAAAAAATTGATACTTTTTTGGTGTGTTGTTGAATGAGTTTAACAAACTCATACAATTATGTAACCATCACCATAATACAGATGTATGTGTTTTATTACTCAAGTGCTCATCTGCAGACAATACCTTTCTCAACTCACATTTCATGTTAATAAATGATCTGTATTCTCTCCATACATTCTTAATAAGTAATAGAAAAGGAGAACTATAAAATGTAATTGTCTGCTTTTGACATTGTTTTTACTGAGAATAATGCATCTAAGAATTATTTATAGAGTTCTATATATCATTAATTTCTTTTTTTATTAAGAAGCATTGTACAGTCTGAATAAGCACTATAGAATATTTATTTATTTACCAGTTAAAGAATATATATTTTTCCAAATTTGGTTAATTATAAAAAGGTCATTATAAATATTTGCACACAGGTTTTGAGTGTGAACATACATTTTAATTTCTGTTGATAAATATTTAGAAATGGGACTGTTGAGTCATATGATAAGTGTAGGCATCAATTCACAAGAAATGGGCACACTATTGTGAAATGTGACTACTCAAAAATTTTATTCCCACCAGAAATGTATGTGAGTGCCATTCGTTATGTATATCCTCAATGGCCTCTTGTTAGTTTTCTTTTGTTTCTTGGCCCCATCCCTATTAACTTAGGCATTTTAAAAGTTTTCAGTAATATCACATAGTGGTATTAATTTGCATTTTTCTGTTTTTTTTTTTTTTTTTTTTTTTTTTTTACAACTACCCATTTATGTTGTTGCCAGGCTCACAAAAATCTGCATTTAAAATATACAGTTTTTAAATTTCAACTTTTGTTTTATCTAAAGATACAGAGGATACATGTGCAGATTTGTTACATGAGAATGTTGTGTGATATTGATGTTTGAAATATGGATCTCATTACCCTGGTAGTGAGCATAGTACCCAATAGGTAGTTTTTAAACACACTCTGTCTCCCTCCATTCTCTAGTCATCCACAGTATCTATTGTTCTCACAGCTATATCCATGTGTGAGCAATGTTTAACTCCTACTTATAAGTGAGGATATGAAGTATGTTTTCTGTTCCTGCAATCTACAGAATAAGAGAAGATATGCATCCAGGAAAGGTCCAACATCCAGAATGTATGGGAAGCTTAAACAACTCAACGAGCAAAAAAAAAATAAATTCATGAAAAATGGGCAAAAGACATGAACAGACACATCTCAACAAAGACATATGAATGGCCAGCAAACATGATAAAATGCTCAGCATCACTTGTCATCACATGA